CTCTATCTCAATGCCACGCTGTACCGCCCGTACTGGCGCGATCCGCCTTGTCGCGCGCGTTACTATGAGGCGTTTGAGTGGCTGATGAAGGACATGGGCGGACGACCGCACTGGGCCAAGAACTTTGATACCAAGCAGGCGGATATCGAGGCCTTTTATGGTGAGAGCCTCGACAAGTTTAGGCACGTTCGCGACGAAGCGGACCCAGAGGGCATGTTTGTTGGCGCCTGGCACAGGGAAAAGATTCTCGCTAGAGGAGACAAGCTCGCTCTTGAGGAGACGGAAACGTCTAGAGAAGGACTTTCCAGCGGCGGTTTGATGACTTTTGGACAAATATAGACTGCTTTATGAGATTTCGGGGTTGGGGGCTTTATTGTGCATATTAGCGGGCGCGTCAGACTACCTATCTTCTACGATTAGACTAAGCATGCACTGCAGTGCTATGCACAGCAATGTTTACCACTCGCATGATCATTCACCGGCTCGTGAGACTGGTTCCTCGGCGCGTTATCCAACGTGCGCTCGTGACTGTGATTGGCTTGCAAGAGTTACTTGGGCACTGGACGCCATATCAGTCACCTTTTCCTTGGTCAAGTTCAAGCATACCAACAGCATAGATCGGGACCGATTGCCCTTTGGATTGCAAACACGCGACAAGCCAATTTTGAAGCACATTGTCTGCGCTTTGAGCGAATCATATTAGGCTGCCTAAACATGCTGTAAAACGGAGTAGGGAGCAGCACAGCTTGTAACACTACATAGTCGGCTCGCAAAATTCAATTTCCAATTGCCGGCATGCTAAGAAGAAGAAAAGAGAAGTTGCGAGTGTAACAGGAAAAATTTTCTACTGCTGTTTGCTGGCGCGTGCAAGGTATGCGGCATCTGCACTGTCGCAGATTGGCAGTAATTTGCCCCCAACGCGCGGGGCGTCGCGGGGACGACAGCTGCAAAAACTTGCACCTTGCACTTGCCTTGGCCGACTTTTTGCTATCGAATTAGCAAAAGAATAGCCAGCGGTTATTGGAATTACCATTGCAGTTATTTTATCTTGAAACAGCGTCGCGTTCCGCAGCTCTTCATCCTACCGGCAGCAGTCGCGTCTGGCTACGCCCGTGTCTACGTCAGTCTTTTTAGGCGTGCCGTTGTATCGCTTGCCCATCAGCCACGATGCCTCAATACCGTATCGGTAGGTTTTCCGCACAGATATTACCTTTTAATTACTAATGATCCAGAACTTTCTGGCAACAACCGTGCCGGGTGCAAGGACGGGGTGTGCAAAAAGGCTGCCGTCAAGATCACCAAGGGCGAGTTAAGATTCGGCACCTGGGTTGAGATTGATACCCATGGCAGCTGGTCGTGGAAGCATTGGTAAGATGCCAACTCTTCATTGATTGATCCTCGCTAATTGAGCAGGGGATGCGTGTCGGGCGAGCAGATGCAGCGCCTGCACGACCAATGCGACAAGGGCGATGGCAAGTGGGACTTTGATGAGATTGATGGCTACGATGAGTTGGCGTACGTCGCCCCTGAGCTTCAAAAGTCGCCAGCTAACAAAATCTAGGCAAAACTCTGAGGTGCAGGAAAAAGTTCGTCGCTGCGTGAAGCAGGCGCACATTGATCCCGAAGACTTCAAGGGAGTATGTAATGCGTTTACTTTTATTCTACTCTGGCTGACCTTTACAGGATCCTGAGAAGAACAAACCAGGTGAAAAGGGCATCCGTCTCAGCGCCAAGGAGAAGGCTGCCCTTGAAAAGACTGACGAGGTACGATTTTTTTGACGCGAGATTATGCGCCGCGCTAATTGTTTAGGATGAGCCAAAGACCAAGAAGCGAGGCCGAGACACCAAGGCCAAGGGTAAAAAGGCCAAGGCTGAGGAGGAGGACGAAGGCGAGCCGCCTGCAAAAAAGACCAAAGCCCCCGCAAAGAAAGGCAAGCCGATCAAGGCAGAGGACGACGAGGATGACGACGCGCCCATTACCAAAGCCAACGTCGGTCGCGGCAGAAAAGCCAAGGCTGTGAAAGAAGAGGAAGACAACGAGGTCCCTACCAAAAAGACCAAGGCTGTTCCCAAGCCCGCCAAGTCTAAGCAGGCCAGTGAGGAGGAAGAGGAGGATGCTCCCTCTAAGAAAGCGAAGACTACGACGAAGGCAGCTCCAAAAGCTAGGAAGCCTAAGCAGGTCGATGAGGAGGAAGACAATGAGGACGATGCTCCTCCTGCCAAGAGAGCCCGGGCCGCTCCTAAGCCAAGAAAGTCGACTCAGGCCGCTGCGGACGAAGACGACGAAGACGAGGCTCCTTCTGCGAAAAAGACCAGAGCTGCTCCTAGGCCCAGAAGATCCACCCAGGCCGCTGAGGAGAATGACGATGAGGAGGAAGCTCCCCCCGCTAAAGGGGCCAGGGCTGCGCGCAAGCCCAGAAAGTCTACCCAGGCTACTGAGGAGGAAGATGACGATGAGGAGGCACCTCCTGCCAAGAAGGCTAAGACTACTCCCAAAGCTGCATCAAAGGCGGCGTCCAAGGCCAAAAAGCCCAAAGCTGGTGAGGATGCGGATGAGGACAAGCAAGAAAACGACGAAGAGGAGAAGCCCAAGCCCAAACGCCGCGGCCGACCTTCCAAAGCATAATTACAGTGTATTACCAGCGGTTGTATAAGAGGAGTTGAGGCTTTGTTTGAGTGGTTACATGATAGGAGAATGATTCGGAGTAGTTTGTACTATGAGAGAAGAGCGCATGTTTGCCAAAGAAGTTGGGGAATTATTAGACGGGAGCTGTATTCTCAGTCAGTGTTGTCTCTACAGTTAATATAATCTTTGCTGTTGCTTGCTGTTGCTTATTTGCGGCTGCCCACCTGTCTTTCCTAGGTAGTCGAGGCAGGTCCTCAACGTCATTGCCCCACCATCATGAAGCTCCAGCTTAAAGCTCTCCCCAACTTGCCAGCTCCCCTCCATCATCAGCAAGACACACGCCGCAGTCATGTCCAACGTGAATCCCGACCCCGGCCAGGATGCGCCCGCATTTATCCCGCTCGAGGCGAACCCGCCGCTGATGACGGACCTCTTGCACACACTCGGTGTATCGCCCGCCCTCGGCATGCATGACGTCTACTCGCTGACAGAGCCCGACCTGCTCGCCTTTATCCCCCGCCCCGCGCTCGCGCTGCTACTCGTCTTTCCCGTCAGCGCTTCCTATGAGAGCCAGCGCCTGTCGGCCGACAGCCTAGTCGACGAGTACGCCGGCCATGGCGCCGCTGAGCCCGTCGTGTGGTGGCGGCAGACGATTCGCAACGCTTGCGGCATGATGGGCCTATTGCACGCCGTGTCCAACGGCCCGGCTCGAGAGTTTATCGGTATGCTGCGCAGCGTGTGAGGTTCCCAAGACGAAGATGCGTGGGGCTAACAAGATAATGGCAACAGAATCCGGCTCGACCCTCGACAAACTCCTCGAGAAATCGATCCCGCTCGATCCTGCGCACCGCGCCAAGCTCCTCGAGCAGACACCCGATCTCGCTGCCGCACACAGGCAGGCAGCTTCTCAAGGCGCAACCGCGGCGCCCGACGCCCAAGACGACGTTGACCTGCACTATGTCTGCTTTGTCAAGGGCAGCGACGGCGCGCTGTACGAGCTCGACGGCCGTCGCAAGGGCCCTATCCGCCTTGGCGCGCTCGATGCTGACGAGGACGTCCTCAGCGAAAAGGGTCTGGCACTCGGCCCGCTCAAGTTCCTCGAGAGGGCGGGCGGCGATCTGCGCTTCAGTGCGGTGGCGCTCGCGGGTGGGCTGGACTAGACGCGGTGCTGCTCCCAGCGCAGCCACGACGCGGCAAATTAGTGCAGAACACGCGAAAAGGTTCGCAGGATGACACCCGGGAGATTTCTGTTGGATTAGAAACGTGTACGAGGCTAAATGTACCTTATGATTGCATGCTTATGACGATTGCGTATTGAGGTATAGACTACAGTGGCCGGCGTGAATGTGCGTTTGCCTCGAATAGCACAGTAAAGTAGCAATAATAGGTCATCAACTGAGTATGCTTCTGTGAGTAGAGAGCACTCAGACTGAAGGATGCTTTGATTGAGGTGTTTAATCGCAAGCTACAGTCGCATGTGCGCACTGATGCAATGGCATGGCAATCTCAGCGTGCGACACGCTGGAGGGGATCTAGAGTGTCGAGAGCAATTTATTCTGCCACAGTTGCCAAAAGGTATGGCTGTAGATGGGGTTGGGGGAAGAAGCATACTTGATGCTTCCGTCGCCGGGCTCGGTGCTTCGCGATGTTTGTCGGTGGGTAATGGAACATGCAAAAACTACTGCATAAGCTTCAAGCGTATACGAACGTGTGCGTCTATAAAGAAGTCAAATTTCTCTCATGGTATTTGTATCATAAAGGAATTGGCCCGAGAGACGTGGTGTTGAAGGCCCGTTGCAGACGCAGGTAGCGAAACGCTTCCGCTTGATCATGAAGTGATAGCATTGCGTGATTGAGAACAGAACGGTATTCATACCGTGTCGATCCAAAACTATTGAACTTTGGAGGGGACATGCTAGAAGAATTGATGAATCGGTTGGAAAGCAGGACTTGGGGGCGAAAGACGGCAGTAGTCTTTTCTGCCCTAAGTGTTCTCTGTCCTTGAGCCAGTGCCACAACTCTAAGTCCGCTCTGACATTAAAAACCGCGGTTCGTTAGACGAACCCCAAGCAGGAAGTGCAGAGCCACCCACGCCGTGAGGTTGCAGACCTGAAGTTTTTGTGTAATGGCTTATGGAGGAAAGAAACATGAAATGGGCCATTCCCTGCTCTGTGAATATGAGACGGCCTCATCGTTGCACAGATGGAAAGCAACTTCATTCGTCTGCTTTAGGTGAAGTGCCTAAAATGACTGTGTTATTGGTACTGCACCCCACGACCACCACTTTCGTTTCCCACAGTCTTCTCACCCGCCATATAAAATTCAATAAGCCGCCAATTTTCAACAAAGAAGCTCCAATAAGAGCGCAATGACTGGTCTGGTGGTCTAGTGGTATGATTCTCGCTTAGGGTCCACCCTGAGTTTAACAACTTGCGAGAGGTCCCGGGTTCAATCCCCGGCCAGACCCTATGTTTTTTAATTCCCACGTCACTCATCATTAGGTGAAGTGGTGCATTCCATTTTTAGTCGTGAAGTTTTTTTTTTTACTTCTCTTGTAAACAGGTAAGAAACACTAAGTTAAAAAGAGGAAGTGTGTGACTAGCTGCCTATATTGAAAAGGAGTACTTCGTTTTGCGTGGTTATGTTTAACCTAGTAACTAGACAGCCTACCCCGGAGCTGGGCCATTATTGTCCACGGGTCGCTGGGACCTCGTGGAGGCGTAGAACGAAAGAATAAGTGCTTTCCCTATATTGAAAAATGTCTCACTATGGCTGTATCTCTCGAGAAGTCGTCCCATTGTCTGGTGGCTGAGGAACATTGAACTAATAATGTGCCAGCATTCGTGTAAGTTGTACGAATAACTAGCCCGAGTCTTGCGCATATTTTACAAATGCAGAGCGGGGAATAGAGAATACGAAGAGAAAAGTGCCCAAGACTAACATGTACAAACTGTTAGATCCTTCAGATGCAGGCCTTGAGAATAGTTAACATCGATCTTCACCAACCTTCGCTCGAGGGCAGCTTTCAAGTGCAGCTATCCAAAAAGCCCAGCCCACCACATGTCTTCCACTATGCCGCAGGAAAAAAAAGCACAGCCTGATACATTCCATAACTTCTATTTACTTTAAAATTTTGTGCCCCCCCATCTCCATCGAACGCCGGCACGCGAAAACGTCTACCCACCAGCCCACCTCGCGTGCGTCGACGCGTGCTTGGCGTGGAAGCCGCCCACTAATATTCAGTGACGAATCGGTCATGGGCCAATCCTCTTCTTTCTGGAAATCAGGCCAGTAACTTAAGATCTGCATGTTGATTCACTTACTCGCCCTCTTTACTGCAGCCGTGACACTACGCTGGGCCTTTGCGTTTATTCCCATCGAGGACTGACTGCTTCTATTCACTCATTAGCACGCCAACCTGCTGGTGCGCCAGTCCGCATGCCTGCAGCGAGAATGTCATGAGCCTTGTAACATTATTGCAAGAATAATCATGAATTCAATTCAGCATATGGACGCATCAAGCTCATATTAACATATACACCAAATCACCAATCATTAACCATAGATACACAACGCCGTCTCCTGGCCCCGATAGCCTGTAACCATCACGTTTCCATAATGACCCAGAGAATAACTACAATCAGATGAAGCCCTTGGTCAAGCTTGGCGCGCGACTCAGGCTTGAATCTTCGTCTTCGTCCTCAATCACCCCCAATGCATTGATCCTGCTGCGAATGCTCCCACTCGTCTTGAGCTTGAGGCTTCCACCACTTTTGAACGCCTTCAAACTATCTAGCTCGCGCTCCAGGCGCAATGTCTTTTCCTTCTCCTCCCGCAAGTCGCGTTCTGCGCGTCGCGTTGAAAGCTGAATCGCCGACTCGGACGCCTGCAGTTCGTCAATCGTCTTCAGAAGCTTGTCGACCTTTTCGCGCATCCGGCTGACGTCTTCTGAAAGCTGCGCATTTTGCCGGTCTTTCCGTTCGACCTGGCCCTGCAGGTCCTTGACGGCACGATCTACGTTGCGTGTTGATCGCTGTGACTGCGACTTTTCCGTCTCGTGTTTCTCGAGTTGTGATTCAAGCTAGTACAGTTAGAACACGAACGAGTTCAAACAAAAACCATCGACATACCTCTTGAATTCTTCTGTGCAAAAACTTGATATCCTGGCTGGCGCTCGAGAATCCCTTCGTCTCTAGATCCACCAGCTTCAGCTGGGCCTCATTGAGCGTGCGCTCTACGGCTGCCTTTTGCGAGAGCACGGAAGCATTGTTTTCACGCTCCATGACGACTTCCTTTTGCATCTCGGCCACCAAGGCCTCTGAACGGCGCATCTTTTCCACTGCAGCCGTGGCAACATCCTCTTGCTTAGCCAAGTTTGACTTGAGCTCGAGAATCTCCTTGTCCATGTTGGCAGCATCTCGCAGCGAGGCACTATCGCCGCGAGCGAGACCGTCGAGGCCAGCCTTGGCTTCCTCAAGACGGCTCTCCACGCTGCGCTTCTCGCGCATCAGGCGATCGCGTTCGGCGGTAATTTCATCGACGCTGGTCCGCAGCGTGCGTACCTGCGACAGTAAAGATACGACCTTGCCCTGAGCCTCGCTATGCGCATTGGCAGCTTCCTCGCGCGAAGCGGATACATCAGACAAAGTGGCCTCCATGCGCGCCTTTTCCTTGGACCAAGTAGAGCTGTTCAAGACCTCGTCGTCCCACTTGGATCGGAGGTCATCAAGCTCTTCTCGAAGTCTGGTAATCTCAGTCTGCTTGTACAGCTTTTCCTCGCGGGCAAGATCAAGTTCCTTGGTCAGGGTAGCAAACTCAGCCTGGTACTTCTTGCGAGTCTGCTCCATGCTGGATTCCTTGTCCTCAATGTCCATGGCGCGCTGGCTACGATAATCTTCCAGCTCGTGCTGAAGGCGCTTCTTGGCTTGCAGTGCCGCTTCCAAATCGGTTGAAATGTCCTCGACTTTCTCATCCAGACGCTGATTCTGTCTCTGCAGGTCCTCAATCTGGTTATCGAGTTTCTGGCGCTCGGCCATGGTCTCAGCCAGAGAATCTTCGGCTTCCCTAGCCTGAGACTTGGCAAACTGCTCGGCGCGAGTGGCCTTGAGGACAGAGATTTCAGCTTGCTCCAGCTTGCCAAAGTACTCGTCTGCGCGCGACTTGTAAGTCTCGAGGCTCGAGGTCACGTCTGCCAGTCTAGCAGTTTCTGCGTCCAGGCGTATTTGGAGGTCGGTGTATTCTTGAAGTAGCTGGCTGCGGCTCTGTGCCTCTTGTTCTCGGGCCTGTGTCATCTCATGCAGATCCGACTTGACGTCGCGCACTTCCACCTCCAGTTTGGCGCGGTCGTGGCGCATCTTATCAAAGTGAGACTTGACGTCCGTGAGCTCTGCTACAGCATCCTTATGACTGTGAAGCAGCGAGCGGCGAGACTCTTCTTGGTTGTTGAAGGCGTCGAGTAACTCCTCATGGGTCCGAGCTTGGATATCACGCAGGGACAGCTCGCCGGTGCGAATATTCTTCTCAAGAGTAGACACCTTGCGAGCAGAGTCGTCCAAGAGGTCGTGTAGGCGACTGTTGGCCTTTTCAAGTTTTTGCATGCGACGCATGGACGGATTCTGCTCATCGTAGTTGTTGTCGGGACCAGGGGTTGCGCGGTCGAGCTGACTTTGCAGGTGTCGGTTTTGCATGTCTCTGAGCTGGAGCTGGTTGTGAAGTTCTTCAACTTCTGCCTTCATGTCCATACGATTGTTCAACAGCGCAGTGTCGGCGGTTCTGTCAGAGCGAACAGAGTCTTGAAGTTCATACTCTGGCTGCTGGTTGCGACGCGTTGGCGTTGTCGTGTTGGAAACTCGTCGTGCCTTGGACTTTCTCTGCGTAGGCGAGCCATTGAACGGAGCTTCGTTGAGGTGAATTTCTTCCAGCTTGGGACGGTTGGCATCGCCTCGAGATGCGCGAAGTTCAGACAACTGAGACTCGGCGTTGGAACGTGCCGCAGTCTGAGCGCGTAGATTTTGCTGCAGCTCTTCAACCTTGCGGGCTAGATCAAAATTGACTGCGATGCCACGCTCGCTCGCCCCATCCATGATGGAGGGAGTGGCCTCAGGATCGACCGTCTTGAGAATCTTGAGCATCTGCTCGCGAAGATCCTCAAGCTCGTGATCGCGGGATGACAAAGATGCCTGCAACGTCCTCACAGTCGACTGAGCTTGCGTGCGCAGCTGTCGCTCGGATTCCACCGTGCGGTTGGCTTCGGCAAGCTGCGCAGTAAAGTTGGATGAGGCCTTTTCGGCGTTGCGGCTTGTCTTGACTTCACGCGCAACTTCGTGGTTGAGATCTTCCAAGTCGAGCTGCAATTTTTCTGTCCTCTTTTCTAGCGAAGCAATGGTAACTTGAGCCTCGCCCAGTTGCCTGTCAAGAACAGCATTATGCTCTTCCAGTCTCGTCTTCTCTTTCTGGAGAGATAGAACTTGCCCACGAGACGCATCACTTGCCTTGGAAGTCGATCTGGCAATCTCGAGACCCTTCTGCTGCAGCTTATTCAAGAGGGCTCGGTTGTCATTCTCCGATGCCGCAAGCCGGCTCTTGACGGTAGTTAGCTCACGCTCCATGCGTTCCTTGGCCTGATCATTCTTGAGTCCGAACTCGCCAGAAGCAAGCATTGTCTTGTTGAGGCCTTCAATGTGGCGGGTCAGCTTGGCACATTCAGTCTCGAACCACTCAAGGCGAGAGTGAGCGGCATCGAGGTCTCGTTGTAGACTGGCTTCGCGATCCTTGGCTGCCTTGGCTGCTTCAAGTTCACGTTTCTCCTCGGCAAGAACGCGGGCTTCTTCAATCTCCGCCTTGGCGGCACGTAGTTTGCGGATTTCGATGCGGGCGTCGTCGCGCTCCTGCTCAACGACCTTGCGAGTTTCTACATGCCTTCGCAAAGAATCTTGCTGTACATAGAGCTCCTTTTCAATGATAATTTTGGACTCATTGAGGTTGTCAAATTCGTCCTTGAGAGCGTGATATTTGTGCTCGCCCAAGAGCAGGACGTCGTCACGAGACTGTCTCTCTCGGCTCAGGTCCATCTGCGTTTGGTACAGCTCTTCTTTGAGGTTCTTGATTTGAGACTCGAGCTGTTGTCTGGTCTTGTCGGCTTGCGCGTCCTGTGATAGACGTGCCTCGAGCAGCTTTTTGGCCTCCTCAGACTCTTTTTCAAGCTGACAGTGCTTCGATTTCAGCGCAACGAGCTCAGCCTGGATTTCTCGAGACTTGGCAGTAGTCTTTTCAATATCACCGGTCAAAGCCTTCTTTTGCGCCTCGAAGCCGCGACGCTCGGATTCGAATTGCCTCTTGTCGTTACGGAGGAGTGAAAGCTCGCTTTCCTTGTCGCGGACGAGATCCTCATACTCGGTAGAAGTCTTGGAAAGTTGCGCAAGCTGCTTTTGGATGTCTTGATTTTCTCGGGCCACGCGCGCTTCGCGA